GCATATGTATATAAAAGATGTATAACTTTCATTTAAATTATCAATAAATTGAATCTATCAAAAGTGCCAACGATCATATATAAAGGTACCAGAACTATTAACTGCATCCACAATATTAGCCCCTTGTCTTCAATCGAGAAAAATAGTAAAATTGAGTTGAAGACATTTAGTAATTACGTCTTGTAATTTGTAATAAAAATGCATCAACTCAAAAAAGTACAAAGTACTCTTTCCAATTTAATGAGAATCAACAATTAATCAATATTGAATCTGGTTTTCTCCAAAATAGATAATATCATAGTTGAATAAATTTAAAAATACCAACAAAGTAAATAGGATTAAAGATGGATAAAATACATATATTGTTTATGAACTAAGACAAAAATGATGTGAGGTAAAGGTTTCCCATTTTCGAGTCTTTTCCACTCATTTTTCCTCTGAGTCTTCTAATTTCCTCTACTAGCCCTTCAATTAATTTAATACATGTATGAGTAGTATCTCTAGATTTATCAATCCACGGAAGAGAGGCACATCACATCAAGCAGTCAGCCTTCTTACTTCCAGTATTGATTGATCATAAAAGCAAAAACACCCTTATTTCGGCAAAAGGGTTGAGTTTAGAAACTGACAGGCAGGGAGGTTTTCTAACGACGAATAATAGGAAGTGTGTGTGCGCGATTGTTAGCATTCACTTGGCAGAGATGAATTTAATTGTGGGTAAAAATTTACCTGGGGAATTAAAATTTTAGGTTGTATAGTCAGAAATCACTTGGGTCTACCTACATAAATCACTGAAGTTGTCAAATATTGTAGTGGCATCGTGGAATTGTAAATGAAAAATCATACAAATTTTTAATTGAATGTTTGTGAAAAATTTAATAAATTAAGCTGGTTTATAGAATTTTATTACACTTACAATTCTTCCAAATTTTTGATACTTTTATTTCATTTTTTGAATCTGTATCAACTTATTTTTTATGCAGTGCTTTACCGGGATTCGAACCGATGGACATTGGATTTTGAGTTTATTACAATACATATTTTGATTTATTGATTTAGTAAAATAAGTTAAACTATATTCTATATATGGTTTAACGTTTACGTTTGTAAAACTTCCAATATCATCCCTTTAAAATCTATTTATTTCGTGTGTAATTTACCCTTAGGTACTTCATCCACAATCTACGTATCCCATTATATTTTTGTCTATTTGTTTATAAAATAATATGTAAATAAATTCGAATACTACAATGAACCTATTCTCTCCAATAAATCAAGCAGTACCTCTACATCCATTTAATACGCCTCAATGCAATATCATCTGCCACCCCGAAAAGGGTTGAAATGAAACTTCAGATATACGAAATACGAAATACGAAAATCAGAATGTATAAACTTACGTCTTCTTGGGAGAGTATTGATATTTTAAGATTAATTATATCTCTTGCCGCTTCTCTTTGTGAATGACATATTAGATTCATAAGCGGGTATTATATAGGATTTTGGTTTTAGACTTGTGTTCTAGAGTTTTGTGCAAACTTGGCAATATTGGATAATGAACTTGCGGAAATCGAAGATTGGTTAATTAATAATCATTTCTCATCCAGGAGTAATTAAAAATTCATTAATAATAAAAGTTGTAAATTATATCTGTGGACAACACCTTGCATCATCTTATGTCTCATATTTTTTATCATTTTGTCGAGTAATTACTCAGCCAGTAAGTTGTAATTACTCAGAGAAGTGACAGAAAAATTCTTCACATGGGCCATAGTAATTTTATTAAAATCATTTAGTTAAAAATGTATGAAGAAAATCTAATGGATCAAAGAAAAATATATTTTTTGCCGAAAGTTCTGGAAAAAAACACTAATTTTTATGTCACACATATGACTAGCATAGTTCAATATTATGGATTTTTTTCTCTTACCAAATTGCGTATGTCTGACAAGGCTCAAATAGGACTTCTAACCGTCAGACTCCTAACTGACTTATATGAAAATTATGTATGTAGTTTTCAGCTCCAAATTAACATTTTTTTTTAATTATATATTAATTTTTCTAGTTATTTGTAGCATTTTTGAAAATCGTTTATAAAATGATAATTTAAGTATTTCCTTTATCCATGACAAAAAGCGTACGCCGTTTTTATCGCCACGTGCTCCATTATAATATTCAACCCTTTCCATTACAAAACTCACCCCTTTCAAATTGATATTTGCATCAGCGGACGCCTAAAGGTGTCTCCATCCGATAAGCTAAAATCTACGCGATCCATTTCTCTCTCTATTGAGAAATTTCCTCTATTGAGGACGAGGCTCTGAATCCTCATCCTCGGAGCAATGAAAATCTTAGCTCTTAGCTAATTAACAGATTGGATTTCTACAAAATACTCTTCGGCTTTTATTATTTCAAGCCATTAATTCGAAGAGAGAAATAATATAACAGATTGCCGCCGAATCGGTAGGAGAATGTTAAAGTTAGAATAGGATACATATTCGAGGACGAAATATTATCGAGATATCCTCTTCCAAGCATCTTTCTAGACCATAAAGTTTTCAATTAGTGATTGAGTTAATTAATATGGATTCGGTAATGATTTTTCGATTGGAGAGGGAAATGTTTTATCCTTATACTTCGAAAACATTTTTCCATAGTCAATAATATCGATACCAAATCCTACATGTCTTTCAATTCTGTTACATAACGACAAAATCCTTCCTTTCAAGAGTTCCACCAAACTGTTTTTGAATTAAAACTCGTTTTAATTCAAATACAGAAATTAATGGAGAATATTGTGGGAAGGTTTTCATATCGCTCGGAATATTTCATCAACGAATTTAATATTTCTTGTATTCGGGAATATATATCTACTATTGAAGATTGATAAGTTCCTTTCATACTCTGCGCATTGATTAAAGGGTTTTCATTTCGTCATATACAATTTATCAAACGAAAATTTATCAATTCAGCAAAACGAGTTCTACAGAAAACAGATAATACATAGGAATATATATATATATATATATATATATATATATATATATAACAAAAATCATTTATAAATTTCAGAAACGATTTTTTCCAAATTATTTATTATTATCCTTCAAAATATATTTAAATAACGATTGTATCAGAATTTTCATTCCAAGAGTTTACATTTACAAATCAACATTTTGGGGAGTTGCTCGGCGTTGTTTGCTTCGACAAAATAGGGATGAAATTAATACGATTATCAGACAGAAAGGAATTAGTTTAGCCTTGTCTGTCTTTTGCGAATTTACTTATTTGATTATGGAACTGTCTCTTCCACCTTTAGACTTTGAACACAGTCTTGACAAAAAGAGCGAAACTGTTTTAAGTTGTAACAAGATTATTAGTTATATTTTAAATAAAATATTCAAATGAGATATTTTCAAAAATGCTCGAGTTGCTAAACGATATTTTTCTGATCCATTATTTACCCTTTGAGATATTTTGTTCGTGTCGGGCGGGATATTGTGTTTTCTTCTCCTCGAAGGGGTTTTTGTTCGTTCGAGCACACTTGATTTAATAAGATGTCGTTTTATTTTGTCAATCACGCATTAGATAAAATGTCTAATTGTATTTGGCGCCCGTTCCTCTAGATTGCAGAGTCTCTTAATGATTTCCGATGCTCCGAGCGTTACACGACATTTATTGGTCTGGAAAACCGAAAACATGAGATCGAAGGAAGATATACACAATCAGAATATGATGTAAATAATATATTTAATAGTTCACTTCTATTCAAATTTCACGCTATAAATCGTATTGATCGTAACATAAATTATTGAGAGAAAACGTGTTTATTATATCTACGCCTTATACGATAAACTACATATGGAGGTATTCGGCAGCTACCGAACTAATCAATAGTAATAAAATTTGATTCGAAATTAATTATCGGATTCAGTCGGGACTGGTCTAGGTAAAATAATAGATTTAAGGGGGTATTCTAATGTAGAAATTCAAAAAAATCGATTTTTTTTATTTCATATTTTCAAAGTTTAACTATCTAAGAATATGGGTACGAGAAGGTTTTTGAAAATTTGAATTATTTTTGGAGATATAGGCATTTTACTGACTCGGTCTCCATACTGGTTTGGCTTCACGCAAAACTTTAAATGCGTTTTTCTCGGAACAGACTTTTTCAGTACTTTTGACACGATTTCTCGAGTTTTAATCGACCGATTCACTTGAAATGTTCAGAGAGTCTTGTTTCTAGACCTATCTATAGCCCGAACTAAGATTATTTCCAAATTCCATTATTTACCATTTTGAAAAAATTCGAGAAACTCAAAAAAAAAACTGTAAAAAAAACACTTTTTTTTTCAAACAGTCGCCAATTTGTAAAAAAAAAATCTTTTTACTCATCGCTAGTTCGGGCGATTGCGACACCATTGTAGATTAATAATCTTTTTATTTGTTGCATTTCCGATAGCTAGGAGGGCTGAAATCATGTCAAGACTGAGGTGCCAATTTTTTAAGACCACCCACTTTATCAGCTGCCAGTTTTTCGCTTTTTAACTTTTTTATTTTTTAATTTTTGTTTTGTATTTTAATAATATTAATAAACAGGTGGTGAAAAATGGATAGCAAAAACATCATTGCTTTCTTTTACGACACTTTAAAAATGACCTAAAATTCATCGCTCTACACTAGAATACCCCCTTGAGGAGGACGGGGGTAAATAAATAATCATTGTTCTGTAAAAGATTAGATACTTTTTGACAGAAATTTGGCTTAATCGAATTACATTTATTCTAGTACAACATGCTTATTCAAATTTTCCTTTGATTTTTGTTTATTAATTTCAAGTTTAAAATTTTTCGTATAGTTTCTTATTATTCTCACCGCTGCCACCACGTATCACATGAACTATTCAATGAACGGAAAAATCCGGGTATTACTCATACATTTCTTTAACTATCGCAAATTTCATTTATCTCATACTAATTTTCTTTTATTTTTCCCGATAGAGAGCGACACTAGCCGAAAAGGAAGTGACCACGCTGAAGGAGCGGATGTCCGGCAACAGGACTCCGGAAACGGGAAGCGCGGGCGTAGCCGCGGCTGCGAACAAAGACACCGCATCGACGGGTGACTCATTGGCATCAGAATCCACCCCTGGACAAAACAGATCATCAGTCGAGGCCGAACTGATTAACAAGGAAAAAGAGGTAAGAATTAGTCTTACTGAAAGGTGAAAATGAAAATTTTGTATAAATGTGTTGAAATATTTATATAAAATTAAAGAAAGAAAAATTTGGAAATGTTAATTTTAATGTTTTATAAATAATATAGGCTATGTATGATAAGTTATTACATTTGGGCTATGTCACTAAGGGGCAAATTTTTTGGATAAAATATAAATGCTATGGTAGCATTATGTTACGGGTCTATAGTCGTATGAGTTGATAGTAACTAACTGTCCAAAAGATATATATTTGCTGTGCGATTAGGCATTTTCTTTTACACAATAAAACCTAAAGCACAAAACTTTCTGATGACTTTTTGATAACGGTTTTCTTTATAAAATGCGTGATCTCACAGCAAATACATAACTTTTTTAACTTCCCGTAGGGCAAGTTATAGTAATCGCAAAAAAATTGAAAATAAAAATTTTTATATATCTTTACGTTTCAAAATCTTCTGAACATTTTGGCATACCTTAGAAAAAATTGATGTATGTGTGTGTGTATGTATGTATGTTCGGATACAATTTTTCGTCGACGATTTCGGGAACACGGATCAACCGATTTGAATAATTCAAAAAACATTCGATTCGTATTGATAAAGAGACGTGCTGATTAGTTTTCGGCGAAGGACTTTTTTCAGCCGTTCTGAAGATACGCGGCAAAAAGTGCTGAAAATTGTAACTCAGTTTTTAAGAGAACGGAGCGTCCGATTTGAATAATTTAAAAAACATTTTACTTGTATTGACAAGATGAAGAATTGATCAAATTTTCATGAAGGCAGGTCAAGCGGTTTCGGAGATCTAATGAAAAAAGTAAAAAAAAAAATGCCATCTGGCGGTTAAAAATGATCATTAGACATATGCACATCAAATTATCAGATATTTTATAGAGATTTTAACAATAAGTATAATTTTTTTTTACATTTCTATGGGTTCCGTGCCAATGTTTATGCGTTAGACGGCGGCGCGGCACTTGCGAGCTTTGACATTTCGTCTCTATGCAGTTCAAGCAATACGATTGCTTTGAAAAAAAGTTCAGAATTTCCAAAATATGTCAAAATGAAGAAAACATTTTTCTTTTCAAAAAAAAATTATTTTAAAAAAAGTAATTTTTTGTCAAATTTATAGTTTCTCAAAAATCTAATTTTTTCGAAGTAAAATTTTTTCAAAAATGTTAATTGTTTTTTAAAAAATAATAATTTTTGGTACGGGAAGTTCCAGCAATTTGCCTTAAGGCACAATGCCTTAATTGCCTTAAGACAGAATTCCACTTACAGCTAGTTACAGTTTTGATTCATACGAATGTAGACCCATAACATAGCCGCCTTACCATTACTATTTTATCCAAGATTTGGCACCTGAATCTCGATCATTATAAATGTAAATCCCTTAGGCATCTATTGGGGGTGAAAATGGTATCACTTGTATTGGTTCTTGAAAATCTTATTAAAGGATTCATCAATAAATTATTAGGTGTACTAAATATATAAAATGGTGCAGATACAGGATAAGGAAATATAAAATTAGACATTAATATACAAGTATAGATTAATACCAATAAATTGTTCAAAGGAGGGTGTTATAATAGAAGCATGTGATGGGATATATTGGATCAATAGAATTATATATATATATATATATATATATATATATATATATCATTTTCCTCACAATACAAATCTTAGCCAGCTGAATAGATGAAAAGACAACACGAAAAATCTTGATCGCAGAAAAACCTTCTTTGCAATGTAATTCTTATAAATCTTTATATTGAAACCGAGTAAATACAGATGTAATATTAAATATTGTAGGTTTGAGTTTTTTGGGGGTTGCTTCGAAAAACCAAATAATCCCGCTAAGAGGGGCGGAAATAAGCTTGTTTAAGACGCAAAAGAAAATCACAGCCCGACCAAGAAAATTACGAGTTTTCGGTTATGGGGAAATATGATGTTTAATAATCGACGGAGTAGACAGGAATTACCACCAGTGTTTAATGTCTTTCAGAGGATTATTTTTGGTTCTTGATATTGATATAAAGGAAAAGGAAAATAGTTTTTATTGTGAATAAGAAATAAATCAATCTATAGCGTGTAGCTTCTATACCATTTTTAATATGTATTTTGTAGACTAATTTAAAATTCAACTATTACAATCGCGTGTATACATTTTCACCTTTGTTATACTGGCAGCATATCAGTACACATTTTTTCATAAAATAATTTTTCATTATGATAAACTGCGATGATTTAATAAAAACTGCTAAACGACAATTGCTAATACCAACTCTATTCTAGTATTTCTATACAAATGCAGAATCGTATTCGCATGACGTTTAAAAATATAAACTGAACCAAAATCGCAATAACGCTAACTGCATCTTGACATGCCACAACACTGTTGTTTTATACGTGGTGCATAATAATTAAATAATTTTTGCAGTAACTTCATCGTAAATTACTTGCATTTTATATTATATGTGAAGTTTTATACTTAAACGGCGCGGGGGTTCTGTCACCGAACGGCCAACTAGGGTTGTTGAGTTATGGACGATGTATTACAGTTTATCGCCTCCAAAAGGAGGTGGAATTAATAATATAAAACAATACTTTCTCAACACAATAATTATCATTCTTCAAACCATTCTCCGGTATCCATTTATCTCGAACACATTTTCCTCTATGGTGAAAACACATTCATTCTAAAAGCTCATCACACATCGATTCGCGAAATAACTAATTCCGACAAAACGCGCGAAAACCCAAAACCTAGGAGGCGGTGGGGCTGCACAGGCAGCAAGCAGCCCAATTATTCAGAAAGGGGTAGGCAGGTTACTCTAACTTTGGGGGTAGTTAGCTACTACCTACATGTGTGGGAATAAGTGCATGTACAGACAATCGAGTGTTCGGCTGAGGTTCATATTCAACCTGGACTGGGATACCATAGTTTCCAAAAGGAAAAAGGATCACAAAAGTACGATTTTTGAAATTTATTATTTTTGCTCCAGATTTGCAGAAGTATTAGAAAGACGTCAACTCAGAGCAATTTTTCAGAAAAACTTAGATTTTGAAAAATATTTTGGTAATTAATAACGTAGCTCCAAATAGTAATATTTCTGAAAAAAATAATTCTAATATCAGATTTAAAGCAAGAGAATAAGCTTTTAAAGTTATCAGCACCAATGCCAATATCCAGCGTTCCTTTCAACTTGCTTTTCTCTAGTTTTTTTTTAATTGTTTATTCTGCCACCTGTTGATGAAAACAATGAGCAGAGATAACAATATATGAGAAGGGCAGAATATAATGATCAATTCATAATTTTAGAAATTTACATAAAATATTTAATCAATGCACACTTTATTCTAAAATAAAGTTTTTTTAATAGCTGCGGCTATTTTATTATGGAACACCGACAACTTTTTGGTAGTACTTGTTTAAATTGAATGCCTATCCAGTGGCAAATATGAAAACATTAATTAACATATATTTTAAATCACATATGAGATTTCTGTCATTGTGACGAACATTTTGATGTGAGTTAAAGAATCCAGTGGTCAAAATTTTGAACAAATTGAATAGACGATTTATATAAAACAAAAAAATTGTACAGCACAAGTTAGCAAATTGAAATTATTGAATTGAACTATCAAAATATTCAACTCTAGGCATCAATTAAGATCGTAATAATACTGCAGCCTTCGAAGTACAAACAACAGACTAGTCTGGAGCAAAAACAAACTATAATTCTATTTCTACCTACACATATTAAGAATCTCTGTTACCCATGTTGATATTCAGCAGCGATCACCTTTCCGATTCTACAATTTCGCCACCGATGCCACTTTTCACGTTGAAATTTCGTGGGGCGATTACCTACCACCCATCACGTATAAAGTAGGAGTTCTAGCAATGTGGAGGAGAAGGCACTAATCATTGTCTCGAAACTTTGTAATGCCCGCCTATCACACGACTGAGTAAACTAGACAAAACAACGAACGCACACAACAGAGACACAAAGGGAAAGAGTAAGTAGATATAATGAAAATCGGTTCAGGAAAAACGGAAAATCGGAAAATGGCGTTATCCACTAAATATAGGTGTTGCGTTCTTTTTAAACGCCGACCGAAGTGAGGCTAGCTGCTTCTAAATCCAAACAGTGGTCGCGGTAAAAGATAAATGAGTAATACATATTTTGTTAAAAGTTAGGAATATTTAATATGTCAAATAAATTTACTTACATGTATACGAAGTATCAACTACATAGCAATTTTTTGTTATATCAATTACCTTGCAAATTTGTAGATTTCTAATTGAAACTCTATCAAAAAAAAAAAAAAAAAATGAAATGACATGAAAAAAAATATATAAATACAAGAGAGGCGTCAAAATTTAAGATACGTGCTAACTTGTTACTTGCACTGTTGCTTTAAGCACTGTGATTTGATAGGCAATGGGTGTAACATTTAATCTTTTAAATGATTAAAAACTCACTCTGGTTGGTGCCTCCACCTCTTAGAGAAAAAAATTGATCCAATTTTTACAGAATTTCTTTCACGAATTTTTTTTCTTGTATTGAAATAGTGTTATAGAAGATTGTACATTAGGAAAAACACCTTATATAATGGTCGTTAAATTAACGTTTTTCTCCAAAACTATTACGATGTTGACACGATTTCTGTCACTTTTTTGATGCAAATAAATTAATAAAAGGAAAAAAAAATTTTTCACAGCCAATTTCTCAGGTATGACAGGTACTAATAGTCAACTTCCCCGATGATCCTTTTTGGATGAGTCCTTTATCATCAATGCTTTTCGATTCGTCTCGCTCCTGGCGGTCTTTTTCGCTCGCTCTTTCTCTCATCCGTTCCGTACTTTTAACTTTTAAAGCAAAATACAAATAAACCGAAAAACCTTCTCGTATTAATAGCAACGGTCACGAAACTCTGCCGCCAACAACATTGAGCTATTGTTTTTGTGGAGTGGTGA